AACCATAGTCAAAATTTATTTTTTGAAAGATAAATTTTTCTAGCAATCCCAAAAAATTATGGGCTCATACCACCCCCCCCCCCCCCAAAAAAAAAAAAAAAAAACGAAAAAGTCATGCCAGACAAGAAATGGTATACCCAGGGTACACCAAAGGATTCAATTGTGAACAATATATTTAGAGTTAAGAATATTGTAAACACCGGAGATCGATTGACTTAACAACAAAGTATCACTGTCGGGAGGGTGGGGTTGGGGGCCGCTGGTATGTAAGAGGTGGTAGAAGAACTAAATGTCTATCTTTCATTGAGGAAGTTATTAGACATTATCTAAAATTATGAAATAACAATATAAACATGTTATTTAGAAATAAAGAGGTTAAATACCAAAAGAAATGGCTACAAGAGTCAAAATGGATTCCTTCTGGAGTATGGGAATGGGGGGACAGAGCAGGCAGAGTGACAGCACCAGACCGCGTAGTCATGTGGTTTTCTCTAGGCCTTCCCCGCAGTCATGCAAAGTGTCGGCTCCAGTTATTACAACCCTTATTTACCAATATTTGACTTTTTAAATGATGCGTATTATTATTTGGATGAAAGTAAAAACAGAAAGAATGTCATCTGATTATTTTCATCCATAACTTCAAAAGTAATCATTATGGGTGAGTTAAGGTAATTAAAAGTTATTTTAAACTTTTCATCTTTAAGCACTGAAGTGATTTTATTGCTCTCTGTCGTGACAGTCTTTTCAATTTGGAATTCTTTTTTTTTCCAGTGTGTATGCCAGAAGAAGGGTTTAAAGGTAAGTTACATTTGTCATGTTTTGCTTACGAGTGTCAGAGTCATACTGTAATTTTCTATTAAAGCGAAGGCTATAATTTGATTTTAAAATTTAATTCAGTCTCAGTCTCATGACCGAAATTAATTTTAGTTAAATGCATTTTTTATTCAAGCTTCTTCTTTATCCGTTTCAGCACTCAAGCCTCAGGTGGGGCCTGTGCGTTAGAAGTATCTACTGCCAGATGTCCATTCTGTTTTCTCTCATTTGGGAGGGAGGTCGGGGAATTAGCCAGTGGCATTTCGAGATTTCTATTTAACCTTTTTCCAGTTCATCCTGTCAGTCCCATCTTACAGCAAAACAGTTTGTGTGCAGCTATTGGTAAGAATTAGAGGAGAAGAATTTGCTGAATTATATGAGGTTCAGCGAAAAGATTTCATTAATCTATTTAGAATTAAGGCATTTCTTGGATTATTACTTTAGATGGAGACACGGCGGTGCCTTGTACTGCATCTTGGCCACGATAGTTGTATACACCAATAATTTTCATTAATCCATCAAATATGGACCTTTGACATTTACAGACTTAAGTGTTGCCTGCCATTTCAGTCCGTTGCGGCCTACTCCAGAGGTCCATAGCAGGTTGTGATTTTGCCCAGGAATGAGCTTGAATCAAAAATCAGGGGTTCTTTGCTAAAGCAAATGAGTGAGTAAAGCTACTGGCCTAAATAAAGGCTTCCTCTCAGTGCGGCTTTGTTGTCTACATGGTACCACCAAAAAGAAACTCCTGATGTGGTTAAAACAAAACAAAACAAAAAGCAAAAAATTTCTTTATGAAAATGGCCATCAAATGAAAGCATCAATAAAATCTGATTCACTTGTGTGAAGACAACACATAGGAAACACATGGCTTTCAACAGAAATGTGATTTAGCTGAAAGCCTCAAGTTGGCTGATATTTTTTTCTTATCCTTCAACGTCAAAGGGCTGCTGTGCTCATTTATTAAATTGGATATTCTCTGTTGATGGTGCGTTCTTGGCAAATGGAATACGTGAACTCTTAGTTTTTGGTTCACAACTGTACCTCCACGTGTGTTTCTTTTCCCAGGTACTGGTCTACTTGGACATTAATCTTTTGAACACTTGCTGACTACTAAGAAATGACCAGAAGGGAAGAGGAGTTTGACATGTTAGGGCATTAAAGAAAAGCTGGATTTAAGAATTAAATCATTACATGACTCTTCCAAAAGGCAGAAAACCATTCAAAAGTGACTGTCCCAAATGCCTTATGTCAAATAAAGCAGATTGCACTGAAGGACATCAGACTTGAAGGAAATGTTTCAAATTTTATATTTAAGGGGGGTGGGTTGGTGGGAAGGAAAGGGCAAATAAAGATTGAACGAGTTTAGTAGCAGTAACAGTAAATCATGTTTACATATGAGATTTATAGTCATGGGAGGGAATAAAATTCTGTTATATTTCCTTGCTTGAGTTTCATACCAGATGCATTGGTCCATAAGGGATTTGTATCACAGTAGGTGGGACAACATTCTGCTCTGAACTAAAAGTAATTCTTTAGAGACATAACCTGCTTACCAATACTTGTCTTTGATTCATATTTTACTTTCAATAAAGCATGAAAGTGAAGAACTTGCCATAATTGTGGAAAAGTGTCTTCAGATTAGACTCCTCTCCGTGTCGCCTGCAGCGCACCTGCCCCACGCTGCCCGGCGGTCTGTCTCTTAGTGTCGGGTACAGGAGGGGGCACCTGCGTGTGTCCTGCCATGAGCAAGGGACTCTGTCTCATTTTTGGCTTCAAAGGTTTTTGCTTTCAAGCATTTCAGAAAGGACAGCGAATATTTATTACATGTGATAGCATCCTCCTCCAGTTTTTGCTATTATTCAGAAGTGGGAAATCAGATACACCTTGCACTTTTGAAAAATCCGCCTACCTTGGCAGAAGAGTAAAGTGGACTGAAGTACATGTGGACAACACAAGGCTTTTATAAAACATTTTTCCATCTTCCGCGTGCACCATTCCTTGCATTTCAATTCTCTTTTTTGAAAGCATTCTTCCTAAATGGCCAGAAAAGGATCTTTTACATCACTTTGTTTAAAAAAGAAAAAAAAAGTGTATGGATGGGCTGTGCCATTTTACCCAATTCAGGATTATTGTTATTAACAACATAGAACCGAAGCAAGATTCTTAAGGATGTTGAAGGACTTTTAAATGAAATTTAAGACTGGAGTTTGTTTCACTGTTTTCTCTGTTGAGTATGTATGTACATCTTTGGGGCAGAGATGCTGACTCAGGTGTCTCTCTTGCTAACATTTGTTTTTTTAGACTTGGATTCGTGCTAGGCTTCCTACCCCTTTTCTGAAAATTTAAGCTCAAATAATGGATGGGGGGAGGCAGGTTTCAATTGGAGGACCAGTAACCTTGGCAGCATCCCTTTTGAATAGCTCTTTTTATCAGAATAATTATGGCTGTTTGGTAAAATTATAACTTCTTGCTTGTGTTTCCCCTCTGTGTTTGCAATGTCTTCAGTCTGTGCACCCTGAGGAGACGGGGTTTGTTTAATGAGCCTGTGTGGGAGAGTGAGAGCTGCACACAGGACCCTCGAAAACCATCCTAGGAACCAGTGGTTCCCACCTTGAGATCGGCCCAGGGAAAGGACTCAAAAATCAAGATCACGGATAGCTAATCCTGATTTTTTAGATCTTAGTCTTTTATTTTGCTCCAGAGAAATGAAGCTGGAGCATAAAAGTAATAACACAC